GACAAAATATGTTCACATTATATATCATATATTAAAATAATAAAAATTACACCAAATATCAAAACAAAATATTTCAGATGTTGTATGTTCAGCCAAAATGTCTGTAAAAATTTTATTAGATGCTTATACTTCTTCTATTTATTAATTATCTTAAAATATAAAATAATTATTTTTTTGCTGACACTTATGTATAAAAATTTATATTTTCCTGGAAAATATTGTGTTTTTTGGCGATTAGACATCATGCTTATAACTTTAAAATGATAAAAATAATATTAATGTGAACTATATAGTTTGAGTTAATAATTGTACATTATTTATAAAATCAAATAAATATATTTTAAAGTTAAGTGTTTGTAATAAAACTATTTATTAGTAAAAGGAAAAAAAAAGACAGATCAACACCACCAAATGTTAGCGGATGGGATCTGCATGCAGATCTCCTGCTTTTTGTACTAAAAGACAAAAAAAATTGAACTGCATGCAGATCTCCCGCTTGAAATGCTTTTACAAACAGAAAATGGTGAATGGTAAACATAAGACAGGAGAACTGCCTATTGCGGGAGAACTGCTTGATCTGCCTTTGTCCTGCCCCTCCCATTCATAACCTAAATTTCTGGAGAATTTATGAAAGTGGGACAAACTCTTCAGGTATATATATATATATATATATATATATATATATGTGGTTTATTATTAGTTTATAACTTTATATGTACTCAATTTATATGTATGTAAAAAAAAAAAAAATTTATATGTATGTATTCTGGTTTCTTTTCCACTATAATATTCTTTGACGTTCTAAATTTGGTTTATATGATAAGATCAATTGCCAAAAAGATAAATGATGATTTTTGATAAATTAAATATGGTTTATAATAGATGGAGAAGATGTCCAACATGAACAACTTGGGGTCAACCATTGATGACTCTGGGTGAATTATTCTTGACTTGACCAGCCGCAACGAATTGACTCTACAAAATTTAAATAAACAAATAAATAGGGGAAATTATATATATGTTCATTCCAATTTTGAATGTTGTCCTATGATCTTTTATGTAACAATTATCATACTAAGATACTGACTGCTGTTTTCATGGTTTACTACTTCTCTTTTTCATCAAAATTACGTAGTACTTATTTGACTCTTTTAACACTCCAATAAAAGTAAGTAAAGGTAAATGCATTTCTAAAGATGTTGTACAGTTTTGGACAAAAAAGTCAGGACCAACATTATCTTGAATAGTTTTTTCTCTAAAATGAGTTTTGTCAATGAGCAACGTATTAATGGGAAACTCTCCAGTGCGTTAGAAATTTCTGTTTTAGAAAATAGGAGTAATAATTATGAAAGCATTATTTACAACAGGAGAAATATCATTAGTGTTATCCCACCAATTTATAAGTCTTTACTTGACAATATTTCCACAGCCTTGATTAAGCAGACTTCTCTGATCGAGAGATTTAGTAGCCTCACGGTTAGCTAATGCATGTGAAAAAAAAACAAATCTAACCTATCAGCGTATGAATCGAAGATATTATCATTTATTATTTTGGTCGAAAACTTTTGTTTTTCTTGTCAACCAACTTGTTGTTTTATATCAAAACTTTTGAAATTTTGTTTACAGTTGGTTTGTTTATAGTTAAGACTTTGTTTAATGGTTATTTTAAAATAGTTAACTGTTGAGATATACGTGTAACTAGAGTATAAGATCAAAACATGAAAAAAACGATATAGCAAACTTTATTCTGAGAAAAATTTGACCAATTCAAATACAGTATAATTGTTACTCCCTCCGTTTCATATTAAGTGTCGTTGTAGAGAATTTTTTGTGTTACAAAATAAGTGTCGTTTTCGGTTTTCAATGCAAAATTTATTAATTTTATTATGTAATTTGTTTTTCTATTGGTTAAAATATGGTTAGGTGTATGGGTAACTGTATTTTTATATAGGAAATATGTAAAATTAATTGTTTTTTTAATCCGTGTGCACAGCTGTAGAGTGACACTTATAATGAAACAGAGGGAGTATTTGTTAAAGTTTTGGATTCCAAGAATTTTGTTTTCTGGTTATAAATCTTAGTGGGAAAATATCCAACAAGGTTTTTTGGTGGAAACTTAATCATAGTGGGAAAAAAAATCCGAGATAATACAAATAAGAATGATTTCTCAAATGATCACTGTCGTTTTATTAAAAGTCTATTTTATAAGTTAGATATAGAATAAGATATTTCCATAAAAGATGTTATAAATTTTGAAATAAAAATGAAACTAAATACTCCCTCCGTTTCTTAAAGATACATATTCTAGAAAAAAAATTTGTTCCTAAAAGATCCATTTTTTACATTTTCAATGCATGTTTTATTAACTAATTGTAAACTTCAAAAAACTTAACTGCACTTATTGATTTTTTATTGGTTTAAAATTATGGAAAGAAGATAAATATAAAAAACTATGCAAATTTATTGTGTTTTATTAAAAAGTATGAAAAACTAGAATATACATCTTTTAGGAACAGAAGGAGTATTTTATTAAATTAGGTCAAATAGTTACCTTTTCTTGTTAAGAAGAGATTAACAATGTCTTCATGTGTAAGTTGAACTACAATTCAATAACCAGTTAAAATCTTTTGAAGAAGTGAGAATGGAGCTGAGTGGTAATATTCGGTCTTCATTAGTTGGCTTGGTCATTGTCAATTTCGTAGAAATTACATAATAGAAAAATATAAGAACTAAATCCTCATGTTTCTCTTTTTCTTTTGTTCATCTGTCCAAGTTAAAAGTTTCGGATCAAAAGCATACAAATCTTACCTTTACAAACACGAAGTAGAAATTATGAGTAAACGTCATGATTATGCAAACAATAATGATAGCCTAGAAGGAATTTAATGTTCTAAACAGTTGAATCCTCGTCAAATAATGTTGGAAGAGAAAAACACACAACAATTAAATCAGTGTGATCAAAAGTCAGTCCTCTCCTTGGCATCTTTCTTGCCTCTCCAGTAAACAAAGGGCAAAATCGGCATATTAGGTCACTGAGACGAAAAAGACTAATTCTAAAATCTCATCCTCAAAAAGACTTTTACTAGGTCGGATCATCGATCAAGATAGATTAATAAGTCAACAGGAAAGACTTGACCGAATCGATCATTTTCATATAAATGGCCACACACGACACATGCTCTCTCTTATACAATCTCAAGAAGATTCTAATGTAAGAGTCCTAAAAGCCAAACGATAAAACAGTAAAATAAAGACATGGAGGAGGCGATGAGATCATGGGACACAAGAAAAGAAGAACAAGAAGAAGAGAAACAAGTGTTAAAGCTTCCAGGGTTTAGGTTTCATCCAACCGATGAAGAGCTTGTAGGGTTTTATCTCTCTAAAAAAGTACTCCTCAAGAAATCAAGCAAAATCGATGAGATCATCAGCCAAATAGATATCTACAAATTTGATCCATGGGATCTTCCTCGTAAGTTTTCTCATTCACTCTTGCATGTATATATATTATATACCAAATATATTTTTAGTGTTTATTCTCATTACAAAAAGAAAGAAAAAAAGACTTCATGCATCGTTTGTAATAAAATTTAACACATAAAACTATAGTTATAAGTTGTTAACTAAAGTTGTGTTTGTCTGAAGGCTCGAGGAATACAGAGAAGGAGAGCTACTTCTTCTGCAGGAGAGGAAGGAAGTACAGAAACAGCATAAGACCAAACCGAGTGACTGGTTCCGGTTTTTGGAAAGCCACGGGAATCGATAAGCCTGTCTATTCTGATGGTTCTAGCAAAGCCGTGATAGGTCTAAAGAAGACATTGGTTTATTATCTCGGAAGTGCTGGGAAAGGAAACAAGACAGATTGGATGATGCACGAGTTTCGCCTCCCAACAGCCAATGACACCATCCCTGGTGGCTCCACTCTCCTTAACCCTACTCCTTCTTCCTTGCTACATGCTGTAAGTTTATAACCTACTCAATCATAAGTTTATGCATACAAATATTTTATGAGCTTTGGTGTGAAATCTTTCCATTATTAGAAAAAGACACAATGCTTGTGATCAGGGGCGGATCCAGCCCATTTTGTAGTATAGGGCATCTACAATAAAACATACTTTGATTAGGGGCAGTTACATAAATATAGAAATTATTGAAGAAAAAATGAAAATCAGTGTGTGGCACTTGCCCCACCTAAACTCTACTTAGGTCTGCCCCTGCCAGGGGCGGATCCAACCCATTATGTAGTATGAAACATCTACAATAAAATATATTTTGATTAGCGGCAGTTACATAAATTATAGAAATTATTGAATGAAAAAATGAAAATCAGTGTGTGGCACTTGCCCCACCTAAGCTCTATCTAGGTCCATCGCAATTGCAGCCGCTGAAGCAGCGATTAGATTAGCTATAGTCTCATCAATTTATCGTAACAGAAAATCAACTCGCATCAACCAATCGACCTTATTAAATAAGTTTCACTAATAAGATACGAAGACTTACTTCACATTTGGAATTGCACAGAAAAGATTATTTATCTCAAAACAAGAGAAAATTTGAATCTAGTACAAATCATTTTGGCGGCATGGCCGAGTGGTAAGGCGGGGGGATAAAACATTTGTCTTATCCCAAAATTTTAAGTGCTTGATATATAGGGATCATCCGCCCCCAAACTATTCAAAACATATATATATATATATATGTGTGTGTGTGTATCAGTCATTCAAATTTTCTACCATAATTGGTTTAGGTCACATAAATCTCAGGACCAGCTCTAATTGTTCCATATGATATATGATTGCAGGAAGTATGGACGTTGTGCCGTATATTCAAGAGAAATGTGTCTAGCAGAAAATACACTCCGGACTGGAGAGAGTTATCAGGTGGTAAACGCATGAAGCCGCAACAATCTAAGTACCAAGAAGCTTATATCAGTTTTGGTGACAATGATAGTAGTAGTAGTACCAATAATATCAACGTTATGGAACGCAAAGAGAATTATGATAGGAACGTTTTCCAGCTTCACCAAACGCATCATCAACACCAGATCATTCCCATGGACACAACTAGTACTACACAAGTCGATAATAATACGGTTCCACAATTCTCAAATGACAACATACACAATATAACGTACGAGAACTGGGACGAGCTACGATCGGTTGTGGAATTTGCTTACGGTCCTTCTTCTTTTAGTTAGATGTCTTTAACCTGATAAGTTGATTATTAGTATAGTATTTGGACCTTTTGTTGGATGTTGCAAGGGACAATACACTGATCAGTGATCATCCGTTTACTGTTATATGTATTTTAGTGTGTATATGGATTTACCTGATTATATATATACACATACTGATCCATGTATTATTATTTTTATTTATTTATCATGTATATAATCTGGCCTACATTTGCCTATTTTATTTCTTGGTACAAATAAAATCTTCTGCGTTAATTTAAACTAGATTCTGACCCGCCCTTCAAAGGGCGGGATTATTTTTCAAATAAACTAAAAATTTATATGATAGAAATTTTTATTTTTAATAGTATATTTACATTTAAATGTTACATATGAAGCGATATATTCAGTGTTTTGAAACCCAATCTAGACCCGTGATTTAGCCAGTAAAACCAATGGCATTATATGTAATCCATTTTTTTATAAAATCTTTCTTTAAATTATTTTATAAGATCCGCCTAAAAATCCAAATCATGTAACTCGGCTACCAGTTAAACCGATGGGTGGTCCATTATGTAATACAATTTGATTTAAATAGTCATATATAAAGTATTTATAATTCTTGAATGTTTAGATTAATGATTGATATGTTATGAATATGATACTCCAATTGTACAAAAGTTAGCAATATAAATTTTAATTAAACTAATTTATCATTTTGTTGTGCGTAATGGATCAATATTTGAGATGCAACATACTAAAATAGAAATATATTGAGCATCAATGATTCGTATACAGTTACTACAGTTTAGTGATTTAAGTTTGAAATAAATATGATAGTTTATTTATTATTTAGTTTACTTTTATTGTTCACATGTTATTAGATTTTTTCAATGTTTTTTTTTGGGTTATTTAAAATTTAATTTGATAATTCATAATAAATATTTAAAAATATTTACTTATTTTAATTTTTATATATTTTTATCATTTATCTAATAATAACTTTTATTATAGATTTTATCTGCACTTTAAGGCACATGATTAATTTTTATTCAAAATTTATTTACTGAAAATTAGAAATCTTATACATATGTATTTTATAATAACATTTGTTTGTAAAGTATATATATAATTAAATTTACAGAATTTATATATATATTTTTAAATAAGATAATTCATTTTTATAATCAGCCTCATATCGATTGGTTTGATATAAATGTTATTTATCAGTTTATTTGGTTTATGACAATTTTTATGTATACAATAATATTTATATTATGAAAAATTAAGGACAAATGCTATTCAAATTATAAAACATCCAAACATTTACATGTTAATTATAAAGTAATATCATAAAAAGTATATATTCTATGTTTTTGGGTGAAAACGATTAAATCGAATATACCATTGTTTTCTTTAGAAGGCCGTATGTACTATTGTTATTTTCTAATGAAAAGTATGTCCATTTAAATTTATACACCTTGGTTAGCATAGGTGCAACACTGTAACATATCTATAAAAATATCTAATTGTTGGTCACCAAATTCAGAGACCAATATATTAGTCAATGAGTTCACGAAAAATGTATGTTGAATCTAATACTGTTATTTTAAATCTAATACTGTCATTTGAAATCTAATACTGTTACCAAAAGATTTGCGGGAATCTTAAATGAATTTTGAACCTTAAATGTCTCTAATAATGGTTTCATAAGAATATTATAAGTAACATGTTTTATATTTAATCACAACATTGTTTAGTAAGCCCAAATTTAAAACATGCCATGGTAAAATTCAAATAGAACCCTGTTTTAATAGATTAGATAACGAGCGTATGTAGCTTATGTTACAAAAGGCCAGAATACGAAAAGGAAAGGCCCACTAAAGAATGCTAAGTAACTGGATTCAAAGCAAAAGCCCAGCCCACGTAACCTTTGAGGACTTAACGAAGAGTCAATATTGTCCGCTTCAGAGCTTGATTTGATGAGATCTTTCAAATTTCAGTAGTGATATACTCTTTGCTTTTTCCTGGGTAGTTTAGGTACGTTTTGAGCTAGGTCATAAGTTTCTGTCTCAACTTGCACGATACACTTTTGGATGTAATTGGGTTTGAAATGAACCATATGGATGATTAGATTATTTATGTCACATTGGACTTGTTATTTAAACGTTCGAGTTTTTCTCTTCTTCTTTGTACAGCCCATTTACAAACTAGTATCTTTTTTCTTACAAACGAAATTTTTTTAGTTTTCCAGTTGAACAGGAACATGTCATCGACTCAACATAGTGGACGGTAATAGAGATATGTGACACTTAAGCTAGAAGCACTAATTTTCCACTCACTTGTACAATGTTAAATATTAAAATGTGAACAATATACACAACTGAATTGGATCCTACAGATGAAATAAAGTGTGTCACAATCATCCAACTTAGGCATCTTGATTTTGTAGGGACTCAATCTTTATGGTCCATTTTGTGGTGGATGGGGTCCATATTTGCTTTTTTGATTCAATTAAGTAATCGTGTTTTGTTGTTGTCATGGCCTGCTGGACACTAAGGACACCATTCATCCATCACTTCACACCATTCATCTTCCTTGCTTGCACCACTATTGATCACCATCATCATTAATAAATAAATTAAACTCTTATTGGAATCTTAAATCGCATAAATCATCATAATCAATAGTGATCGTCGTGATTTTGTGTTAATAAACAATAACAGAATATTCCATGTGTATAGGATATGTATGATATCTTTCTATCTTTTAATTTAGTGTGGACTCACCTTCGACCTCAAGCCTGTCTTTTTAACTATTTTTCTCCCTTTGACAAAGTAGCCGACGCATATTTTGCCATCACTTTTTTTCTTTATCTTTACTCTATTCTCTATCTTGTGAATTTATTCTTCTCATTCCATCATTGCATTGCTTTACTCTTGTTTCGAAATTCACATGCTTACCAAAAGGGACATCATAACTGTTTGAATTCTAAGCTCCATTTGCTTACATTGAAATTTCATATTGTGGTGTGAATTGTGAGATTTACCACTTGTCCCCACTAAAGAACTATGCATGATATTAATGGTTAGATTTTTTTATGAGTGGTTGGTTCCTAATGTGGACAACAACCAAACTATTTTCTCACCTTTATTCATCCATACGAAAGTACAGTCTTTACCCGTAAATGTTCATGTCTTGTTCCTATCAAATATATCAGTGTCATGTCTTAACCATATAATGTTTTTTGTCTTGGAAAGAAACATCAACTTCTAATTATATCATTCATCTAAACACATGGTGTTTTGATATTTTGCACTATCTAGTGGGTGAGAGAAAATCACATTTGCGTATGTACGAAATTAATTTTCCCAAAATCAAATCAGAAAAAGGATTAGGGCCAGTAGGCAATAGTGGTATAGGCTACTTCTTTTACTTTAAACCCTTGATATCCTCTCACACCTCTTTTTATAACTTCATCTTTTAGTTGTCCAATCAAAAGCACAGTTGGATCTATCACTACAATGTTTATAATTGATATTGGTTGATAGATCCAAGACCTGACGAAGATGACACGTTAAGAAATTATATTATCATGTGGCTTTAGCAAATTGATACGAATTATATATACTATACTTGTCAAATAGACTCCAACATCACAAAGTAGGGAACAATATAAAGTTTAGAAATGAGGACTGTGTGTGTGCCTCTTTTTTATCTCTTTAATCACCTCTCATATTTTTTATGTCTTTTACTGAATCTTTAGTTTTTTCGCATTTTAAAATCTTACTAAAAATGAAAATTTGACAACTTTTGGTTTACTAACTCTTGGGCCTATGTGAAATAAGGTTAGGTCATGTGATGAACTAATAACACCCATTTCCTCTGGTTATGATGTGATGAATACTTATTTAAAACACAGAATTACATACGTGACAAATGCAACAATTTCAAGTGAATAAACGATCAACATCTTTAAACACAACAAACTAATTTATTAACTGCGAATGGACGACTTAGATAGAAACCGAAAGTTGGGTTCCATTTTGGTATGAAAAGTAGAATATTTGCCAAAGATTTGTTAGAAAGAAGAAAAAATAAAGAAAGGAGGCCGTCGATATCATCATTGGTCCTTGGTTGACATGGTACACCATTTATGAAGATGAGGTCTCATCCAAAGTTTTTGTCTAAAAGCATATTTTATTTCTGTAATGTATATTTATATATTTTATATATAAACTAATGAAGTAGGGACGTTGATTGTAAGAGGTTAGGCTACAGAACAAATGAAAATCCGACCCACAAATCAATCAATTTCCAAATGATGATGACATTAAATCGTATAACTTTCTAGGGCTGTCTTTGCCATGGAAATTTCTACTTCTTTTTTCATAGATAATATTCAAAACCAAGTTGTGGAATATATTACTGCTTATATATAAAAAGGTGAATCATATTCATTCATCGAACTACTGAGTAGATTGAAAGGTAAAGATGACTTATATCATTTCCATTAAGAAAAAAGAATAAGAAATTCCAAAAATGAAAAACTTTATGTTGTGTCCCCACTCGGAAATCTAACTAATGTTCCTTTAATACTATTCATGTCTACTATATTATTTGGAGTGTGTAATGTGTCACCAGAGTTATTGTTTTCTATTGACTTTTGTGAAAGCTCATCTGAGAAAGAAAAAAATTCATTGTTCAATATGATTATAGTAGATGGTGAAGGTGACACACATATAACACACAACCTATAATTTTAAGCTCTTCCACGCCGATATAATTTTCAAAGTTTATCAAAAGACGGTTCACACATATATAACTAGTTGTAACTTGTGAGAGTCAAATAACTTTTTTTTTTTTTTTTTGAACTGAGGCTTAAAATAACTTTGTGTTCTATGTAATATTTTTGCGTGAAGTTCTAACGCATCAGCATGTCACCCGCAAGCATACGTTAGTTTGAACTGTATTATATACATAAAAATGTAGATTAACTGATTGAGAAAAAAAATATTAACTGATTGATTAAAATACTAACATGTAAGATTGAGAATTTTGTTTGGTATTTAAAATGGAAGTCGAGGAAAGTTCCAAGTGTGGAATCAGATTCACGTGTTGGAGAAGGGGAAATAAAGGAGAAACGGTCCCCAAAGTGGGTCCAGAACGGCCCAAATTTAAATTTAAATTAATAAAAATCAAAATATCAAATAATAGGAAAAAGAAAGCGTGGGCCCGGCGGTGCGATGTGGATGTGTTTGTGTAATGTTTTAATGTTTCAAAAGAGTTTTTAAATGCCGAGTTTAGGCTTTTTGTCCTTTTCTTTGTGGACTCCACTTTTAAGATTTCTTACCTAAATTAAATAATTTATTTTTCTACCGACAGTGTCCTTTCATTTACTAATTCGCAAGCTTACTATGTTACAGATATAGTACACTATTACATAATCTAATAGTATTATTAATAAAGATTATTTATATAAGACTATGTGTCGCATATACATAGTCTTATATGGCCACTATCAGAAGATTTATTAATGTGATTTTTGGTTGTGTTTAGCAAAGAGATAATTAACTACTCATTCTGCTTTAAATATAAGAAAAAGAGATCGTTGAGTAGTTGTTTGACGTGACTTGATGATCAAAATCGCAAACGTCTGTATCGTGTTAATAGCAGACAAGTTAATAATGTCACAAAAATACAAAAATAGCGTGAAGAGACGGCAATAATAACGTGAATGTTGATGATTCAGTTCGGGACCATTCCACAGATAAGTTTCAGAGTCGTGCTAGAATTATATGTACTATAAATACAACGTAATCAATGTAAAGTGCTATTCTAGCGGTGAATTTTATACGATCTCTTTCTATTGACATAAATGTGTTCAGTATTTGTTTTTTTTTAAACTCATTCAAACAATGCAAACAAAAAGAAGGAGAAAATATTTAAAAAAGTGGCGTGAAAAGAGAACGTGAACCAACTACATTTCACATGCTTCAAAAAACTAAAACTAGTACGTGGTTCCTCGAAGCCTCCCTCGAGTTTCACATCTGTACATCTACGTGCGTATCAACACATCAAACCTTAAATTAAATGAAAATTATATTAGTCCCAGTCAAACTCTCTTAGAATTCAATATCCATATAATATCCAGTTTACTTCATGATGCCGTGGTTGATTGCATTGCATGATAGGGATTGAATACATCATTGAATGATTAACAACACATATTGACATTTCAATATGTATAACAATTAAAATAGGGTATTTTAAAATTTTAAATACGAAGAGGATGTGCTGATTGTGTTGGGTGTAATGGAGGCAGTCAAATAATTAAAGATATACATTTTAAAATTGGTTTATTTGATATGAAAGGGACAACACAAGCTTGTTATTCACGCACATCGATTCTTTAATTCTATTTTCTTCTTTCCATAAGCCAATCTATCAGTTCATGTGCCCTTTTTAATACGTTAAACTACGTTATAATCCAAAACTCTGTTAAACCCCTATCTTATCAACCCTTCAGTTTTCACCACCTTACAAATATATACCTCGAAAAGAATAATATATACGACTTTGTTTTCCTTTTCACGAGTATTTCGAATTTTTTTTCGGTCCAAAAGTAAAATATGCTTTTCTCACATACATGATGGAATATCACCACAACAACAATGAAAATTAAGAGATTTTGATGAACCCTTTTTACCTTTTATGATTTCACAATTCTCGTTTTATTTTTGTTTTACCCTCGAGGAATATTAAATCAATATAAACAGGATAAGTTGGAGACTACTCAACATTGGAGCCCACTCTTTGTCACAGCGACATTTGCGCGCGTCTTCCACGTCAGTTTAATGCGATTCCGTAACGGCTAGTCAAACCTTTGTTTCTTGGCTAACTTGCGCTCACAAAATCTACCACTGGCTAACTTGCACTTGACCCACTCCTTCAGTCTTTTTTCTATTAGCATAAGTTCTCTCGAGTATAGAGGAAAAGTGGAAATGACTTTTTCATTTCTTGCTTTTTGGTTTACTGGTCTGTCACGCATAACCCACGATTTCGACCACTTACTTTACTTTTATGTACTATCGAATAATAAAAAATTTCTAGAAAAACACAAAGACTTGTAACGTTTCAACGGAAAGTATATGCTAGTGAGAACTCATCTCGTGAAAAGTGACGTTTGATATATAGAGAAAGACTAGTAGTTGAAACCACAAAACTTGCCACTTTTTTTTGGTGCAGTATGACATTGGAAAGTGGGTATAAACCTAACCCACGATTTTCAGCAACAGATATGACCCTCGTGAACCCCTTAGAAAAAAATTAAAGATCTGACACATATGTCAAAGATTCGTGTTCCATCATCATCATCACTATTGGTACAGTTTGATACTCTTTTTAACTATTTACTATTTTAGGACATTTACAATTTTACTAGTATATTTGTTAGGAAAGATTAACATGAAGACTAGCGTTCTTTGGAGATTTACATATTGGACAAGTATTAATCGAAGAACCACACACACTACATAGACACATGTGTCTGCATGGTAATAGTAACACACTTGCTTCTCCTTTTCCACAGCTTCTACACATCGTACTTGAAACCGTGCGCATCATCGTACTATCATCACCCTCGTCGTTGCTTCCACAACAAGACTGAGCATCGTCAGCAGTCGTAGGCTCATCACACCGGTTACGTTCAACCGCGGCGAGGACTTGTTGGAGATTGGACCGTAGAGCGTTCACGGTGGCTTCATTTGACTGTGCCATGTCACGCCATAACTGATTCTCTACACTTAGAGACTTAACCTTCTCTTCAAGAAAGAGGTTTAGTTTGCCTATGTGATTAATCTCTTCGTCTTTGGCTCTTAGTGTCTTCATCAACCCTTGTTCAATGACTTCCATTATCTTCCTACCTTGTTGCTTTCTCTTCTCTTCAATCCCCATTCTCATTATCTCGATCTGATAAAAATATTGTAACACCGTAAGTCGATATGAACTAGCAAAAAACTTTATGTTATAAAAATATTTAATAACAACAATACTTACATGATTAGAGATTAATCGGTCGATATCTAAGTTGTGATGTTGGATGTTAGAAGACAAGTCTTCTCCTAGGAACATGAGAGGATCAATGCAACGTTTCTGGCTTGGGATAGGGTTTTCAACAACTGATTCTTCTCTGGAGCGTTTTCTGAGAGACGAGGACGACATAGGACGTAGATAATCGCCATTAATATTGTCGCTGTTGAATGTAACGGAGCTATCAACGGAATGGATCGTTGGTTTCATGGACTGATGAACCAAAAAATCAACCGGTGATGATGTGTAAATGGGATTAAACGTAGAAGTTTGACATTCCATGGTATGGTTAAAAGGCATCGTAGTCGCTGGAAGAGTGTTGTATCTGATCTGGTTGTTGTATACTAAACCATTTGCTTCAATGGGTTGCATCATTTCTCTGTAAAGAACACCAACCGCAACGTTAGGTTTTGGTGAAAAATACGTAGAAAATAACAAAGAGGAAAGAATGATGAGAATACATACCTGTTGGAATAAAATAAAGGACTAAGATGGTGTGCTTCAACGGCCATGGAAACTGGTTCAAAGCTATTAAATGGGCGATTCAGAAGGGGGAGCCTTTAGAAACGTGAAAGATGGTGGTGGAAGAAGTAATGGGAGGTTGTGAAGGGTTTTAATAAACGGTTTCACAGAGAGGGAAAAAACTAAAAAACAAATATCAAAGCAGAAACCAACACCACCCTTGTCTGCCAATTTATAGAGAACAGAGAGGAAGATGTGATGTGTTTTTTTTTAATTATTATTTATTTATTTATTTTTCTAATTGTGGTTTTGTTGTTTTCTAGATGGTATTGTTTATTATTAAAGGCAAAAGAAAAAAAACATTAAGCATGAGGAGTCTTCGGTTATTCGGCTGACCAGTAACCATTAAAGAAGTTAAGAAAAAAAAAGCTATGACAAGGACATCTGTAAAATCTATATCTACCTCTTTTAGGGCATGCCCATTGAGGGCTTTTAAGGGGTTCATAGGCCCAATATCCAAGAAAAAACAAATAAAATATAATAAATTCTATAAACCCACCCCGTGAGAGTTCACTGCGATGAACCGGGTTCATGTCAGTTTCGCGGGCCCCATGACACGTGACGGCCCGCGATTGGTTGGATTGTAAAATCTATATCTACCTCTTTTACGTTCTTTAGTTTTTTTTTACTTTAAACCTGTTGTTTCTCTCTTGTTTCGCCTAACTCTTGTCGTTTTTGCTTCTTCATATCTTTAATATTACTGGTGAAAACTGACAATTAATAATTCTATATTGGTAACAAAAATGTTTGGTGTAAGAAACCGTGGAAGATTCAATGTATGTATACATACGTAAATGCAAATGTGTGTGTAATGTATAAACGCCAAAATTGTGGTACATCAAAAGAGGTGGCTCATGTGACAAGAGTTGTGCTTCTTGTGACCATCTTAAATTATTCGTATCGTTTTCATAGAAACGATCATTGTATGTAGGTCAGATCTCAATTTTATTTTTGAAACATCCCAGTATCATTTAACCCCAAAAATATGCCAATAATTGATGTGTAGTAGATTGGGAATTACTCAATTTTTTGGAAAACAAAAACTACTACTAAATTTCTGAAACTGCTATGCATGCATGAATTTGAAACGCCAAGGCTCGGAAATTTCTGAGCAAAAAATAGTTCTCGCGATTACCAAAAAAAAAAGAGTTCTAGTCATTGTATGTAGGTTTTGTCCAAAAAATAAAAAAGTCATTGTATGTAGATCAGATCTCAATTTTATTTTTGAAACGTCCCTGTATCATTTAACCCAAAAAAGTATGCCATTAATTGTATATACTCTATCCGTTTCAATTTATTTATCATTGTTTAAAATTTTTGTTTTAAAATAAGTCTCGCCTTATAATTTCAGTACAAAATTTATTAATTTTCTATATTATTCTATTGTTATTGGTTGAAAAGGGATTAGACATATAAGTAATTATATTTTTATCTTAGAAATATATAAAATTAAATATTTTGAAAATTTATGTACAAAAATTTAAAATGACAACAAAAGTAAAACTGAGGAAATAGTAAATTGGGAATTACTCTTTTTATGGGAAATAGAAACTACTACGACAATTCTGAAACTGCTATGCATGCATGAATTTGAAACGCCAAAACTCAGAAATTTCTGAACACAAAAAGAAAGTTCTCGTGATTACCAAAAACAAAAGAAGTTCTAGTCATTGTATGTAGGTCAGATCTCAATTTTAATTTTGAAACGTTCCACTATCATTTAACCCAAAAAACCATGCCAATAACTGTATGTAGTAGATTGGGAATTACTCAAAAACTACTACGGAATCTCTGAAACTGCTATGCATGCATGAATATGAAACGCCAAGACTCAAAAATTTCTGAACGAAAAAAAAAGTTCTAGTGATTACCTAAAAAAAAAGAGTTATTCAAAACGGAAAATGCCAAAAAACAAAAAAAATTGAAGAGTGCCTTATCCGTTGGGACAGACTTGGACAAAACGATAGATTCCAACGGGGCGAATCCGTAAATGAGGCAGAGGTAACAGACGGTCAATTATAATGCCACGTGTCAAAACAAAATACTGAGGTGTGGGACCTGTGGTCCACGTGTGATGGAGTTGCCGGGATACTAGGGTCGCATGGGCACGTGTGAGGTGCCAGCTTGGCATTATTCTCAGTTTTATTTTAATTTTAGCAAAAGAGAAAATTTGATAAAACAAAAGAAAATAAAAAGCAGCCGTTGAGGAAAGGTACGGTACCCACCGCTACTTCTTTACCTCTTTTCTAAATATTTTTTTAATTATTTAATTATGTTTTGTCTGTTACTTTGCCACGTTTGTTAACCTAGACTAATGACACGTGTCAACAAAAATCTCTCTTCCATGTTAAGACTAGTATCATTGCCGCTTTAAGAGGAAAACTGATTGGTTTCTTATTCTAGGTTTGGATTATTATACACACTATTCCTATTAAATAGTTTGATTGGGTTCATTTTTTAATTGTTTGTTTAACTTGTTCTGTCAACAGTTTTTCATATTTCTTTTATTGATTTTTTTTTTCTTGAATCAAGGGCATGGTTGTGTATACACCTCGTATGGGTGGAGAATTATCTGGGTATATATTCTCTAAAAATAGTTTGTTGTTGTGACTTTACATTTTATTTATAGAATAGTAGCTGTTAAAAAAGCATCAATTCATTTTTATATTAATCTAATTGACATATTCTGAGTTTATCCTTCTAAACATAATTATTCGTCAAAATGATAGTAGTAGTTTATTTTAATTTACTTTAAATGATACATCGATGATAAAATAGGTTTTGACCAAAAAGTTATAGTAATGAAAATACGTAACATACACTAATTAGAATAGAAATACTTGCATCGTATGTCAAATGTTATTTTATCAATGTTTAATTGTATATACAGTATGTTGTTTAATTAAATCAGGTTAGGTTTTCATTCTGTAGTTGAACCTTTTTTTTGTATTAGAATTATGTGTTTCGTTTTTATATCGTGCCTGGTTATATATGTATTTAAACTTTCAATATACATATATGTCGGGTGTATATTGCGTTGAACATCTACTACTAAAAAGCTAATTTGGGAATAGATGCACGCAAAGTGTAAGCCATGTGATTAAATGTACCATGAATCTATATTTTCATAGTTGTTTTCTTCATTTATATGAATTTACATTTTTTTGTTAGTGCGGGTAGATTCTTTAGTTTTTTGCCGATCAATATCAATGAACAAATAAATTATCTCCAATTAAGTAGTACATCTTATAAATTTCATTATATTTGAAAAGTTAATTATGTGTTTGTTTGTACACGCATTTATATAAAGTCATCGTACCGGTCCTGAAAAGCTAAAAAAAACAAAGACCGGAAGCTTCTCACCAAAAACAGGCCACCAAATTGGATTTGAACTTACTATCTATAGAAGAAACACTTACTATTTAACCATCTGAACTATAATAACTTTTGTGAAAAAAAACCGAAAACTTTATTTTATTTTAAGGGCCGAAATCAGATGCTTGTAATGCTTCTATCTAGGGCCGATACTGCGTACATGTAAATTATTTAAGTTATCTTGGGAATGCTAGTTGCTAGAGCATGAAGAGAGGCATAGAATCACGAGGTTAGCATAGCAACCGCATTAAGATGGGCATGCCTTTTGCATCATCTGCTTTTCAGAACATTATCTTTACCACTATATTACATTTAGTCGTATCATGCATTATATTATTGTTTCGGCCAATCTGACATCGTACAACTATTTTTCTATCACTGACAACTCAATATTTAAAAAGTACTAGAGAAAATGCAGGTTGCCTAATAACAAAAGTCGAGGCTCGCTCTTGAATATATTACTTATCTAAAGAGTCGCATTCACATGGGATTAAACTATAAAACTTGCATAAACATCGGATGATAAAAGAAGATTAACTGAATAACTCTCACATTTGAACAAGTTTAATTTTTAAATTATAACGGTATCAAGATACTATTTTTTTTTAAAGTAAGGTTCAAGTTTATTTCTTTTTAAATTCCTGATTAATTCATTGTTGAGATTATTGAGTCACATATATACAAATGTAGCTCTGCATATTTAAACGTAAGATTCAATTGCTTTATTACCTGGTGTGCAGTGAATAAATCATTAAAGTAATATTACATAGTTAAACAGTACTAAAAATTACTCTAGATTCGCAAGAATATAAAATTTATAATATAGAAGAATATAGATGTAGGTAAGTGGTTTTGGCGTGCCTGCTTTTGAGGGCAAAGGCATGACTCCATTGAGTTGATAAAAGTAGTTCTTTTTCTTTAGTTGAATTTTAAAAAGTTGTTGATCTATTATTTTCCTCACAACATCTCAACCCCTCACCATAATGAGAATCTCAATGTCACACCAACGCATAATCACACATCTAAATTTGCATATGGAACAAACTTTTTTGTTCTTTTCTCCAAAGGAATCTCGTTTTCATCATCCCTATATGCATAATATCTTTTGTAGTATTCATAAGGTCTTCTGTCATATATTCTCGATAGACATCCACGCCATTATCTATGCCATACACTGAGTAATAAAAGTTATATATATTTACTTGTCAATATATATTAAAGTAACCAATATGCACGTCAAGTTTATGTAATATGTGTATGGCACGTATATAATAGATATCGATAAACACAAAATACGTGAAAGCAATGCATCGGAAAAGTTGGTTGAGCAAGGAATTGGATACGGCTTGAGATGGCATCACATGTATTGGAAAAGTGGAACAATGTGGCATTATAATCCATAAACCTCAATAATAGTGCTTCCACTTTTATATTACTCCCATCAACAATTTTTACAAAAATATTATGTATCTTCACAACAAGGAAAAATGGATTCATTTTTCATGTTTATAGGTTTCACTATTACATATATCTACTTCTACAAATGTAGTTTGATCCATCATCGTTTTATGTGCTAATCGAACCTTAAGGTAATTTGATTTTTGTTTTTTGGTAATCAGTATGATGTTTAAAGTTATTCATAGATATTAAGAAAAGTTAAATGCGTATTTTTATCTATTACTTTTTTTGTTACATTTTTAATAAATTTAAAGCTTTATTTGGTTCTCTAAACAATTCAACCACTTAACTTTTTATATTTTTATTTTACTGTA